TTCTATGATAAATTTGAGCAACTTTAATGTAGTTAAAAGAAGCTGTGTTCACATTTTTAAACAATTGCATAATGCATTTTTTAACTTGTTAATGTTTGCATTTTGTCAGAATAGGAATTAAACAATTTGGTAGGAGTATTTCGTCTTGCCTCTACATCTGCATGAGAATTCCAGTGGAAGTGCCAACACATCTATCTGCATCTTAAAAGACCTTTAGGAAAGCTGTTGTTTGTTAAATATTCATAGCAGCTGTGTTAAAGTGCACTTTATACAAAAGTAGCTTGTTTTTCCTTGTATATTTTGGGGTTTCAGACTCCATACACCACAGATCTGCCTGATCACATACCATGTGTAAGATGAGAAACAAGCTCTCAGTCCCTTCTGAATACTGATAAATACTTAAATTTGAATTGAAGCCAATGTAATGGTCTAAGCTTGTGTCTCCAGATGGTTCAGTTGTTCAGATTTTGGCAGTGAATGATTGCTACTTGAATATTGAATGTTTATAGTTGTTATAAATTTAATATGCTGGTTCTAATATTTCTATTTAAAATTAAACACTTCAGTCTATTTGAGACATTCAGTGATTATTTCAGTGTGTATTTGCTTCTTGGTGGTCACAGGTACTTCAGGGGAGATGCAGATGTACTTGCTGTTGACCTAATGTTCTTGATACTATTCTGCATTTAATTTTTTGCAGCCATGCCCTGTATGTCTCTTCCGGCAGTGATGATGAATTTGAAATGTGTGAGTAATAGCACATTATGTTTTTTTTCTCTGAAGGAGTATGAAAGTGACATGTCTAACTAGAGTGAAGTAGTTTTTATGCATTATTTTCTTTCCTTGCTCCTGCTGCAAAGTACATTTTCTCCTTGCAGTGCAGTGTTGGTAGCTGTATGCCACAGTGAGTGTTCTTGAATTTTATGCCTTGCGTTATTTTTCTTGTTGCCTCAGTTTTGTCTGTTACCTATAACTTGCTTTCTTCTTAGACTATAGAGCATCTTTGAATAATCATTTTCTCTAAGCAGTTGCTGTTCCAAACATGCCTAACCTACTCAGAATTCCCTCTTTCATTCTTTTCCTTCATGACTCTTAACCACTTAGGATGTTTTGCGGTTTTCATAGTGGCTAAAGGTCTTGGTACAGTGGAACTGTGTACTGAATTTTACATGGTGTCTTCTGCTGCGCATATATAGTCTATACATACAAAACCTGATGTTTGCACTTTTTGTTAATAGCCATTAATGATTATTGTTTTGTGCTAGAGTAATTGAGTACACAGTGGTTTGGTTTTTCTTTTTCCCTGTTGCAAGAGTTCTATTTAGCTTGTTCCTTAGATGAACTAATCATGGCTCTACCACACCTCAAGTGGGTTTCAAGCTGGTGAGTAGTTTAAAGGTTTATGTTTGCAGTATGTTCCTCATTAGGTATTCAAGATTTGAACAGAGATGGTAGTAGAGATGGTAAGACAAGAAGTCATATCTGTTTATTCTGCCTTCTGCCTATCGTTCTTCTGTTAGTCCAGCTGCTTTTAAAGCAGGTTTCTCATTACTTTAGAGTTTATACTTTGCTCCATTTCAGTGCCATGTGAATGATCTTAAGCATTGTCAAGCCTTACTGCTTGCATCCAGTTGAATTAGAACATGATGTATATAGTTCACTGCACTATCGGGCTTTCAGATCCGATAAATATTTCAGTACTGTCCATTCATTAAGTTATTAGCTCCTCCCTGTAATTTTTAAAGTTATTTGATAGTCTGCTTGTTTTTTCTACTCTTTTTTTCCTTTTTTTTTTTGCTTCCATCGAGGAAGCTCTTGAGGCCGAAGTCAGGTGTCAGCTCTAGTATGGAAGGTAGCTGAGAGTGACTAATTGGGTCTTAGAGCAGAATATTTGAAAAGCTGTTCTGTTGCCATGCTGTCACTATACTGAAAATTGTAGGAAAGGGTGAAGGAAAAATATGTGCCAAGAGATGAGAAACTAAAGGGAATTGATTTATTAAGTAGCAAGTTGTATTTGTCTGTAAGCCTTTGTCTGCTGGCATTTGTTCTTCAGTGAGCCATCTTGATGAATTGAATTGGAAGGCAGCAGATGCCATGTTTACTTCTTTTGTGATGAAGGTAGTGGTGAAGACTGCCAGGTGCTAAAGTTGAAGATAACTCACTACTCCAAACACTTTTTGAGCTTCAAGTTCTTGAATTCTTTTTTATCCTTCCCCTTGTGCTCTTCTTCAAAGATGATACCACTCAGTCCCATGCTCTGCTTATGGCACAGTGCGAAAGTTTATAATCCCATTGAAGTCATGCATGCAGCTTTGGACTGGGAGAGCAAACACTCCTTAAGTACTCTTGTGGCTAGTTGCATTTTGATGAAGGGACAATGGTTTCCTTTCTCCCTAGCCTGATTTATGCTTTAATGAAGTTTGTTCCCCTTCAGCTTTCTTGAATGTCTCATAATAATTGTGTATGAAATTTTGATGGCATTTCTTTAAGACTCATTGCTTCAAGCATGTGCAGTACCACTGCTTGAATGGTGTTTTTGTTAACAGTCACCACAGCATTCCTGGAGTGATTAAAATGTAGTGGGATACTGTTACCATTTTGTTTGACTGTTGGGGGGGGGGGGTGTGTTGTTTTTTTTTGGGGGGTGGTGGTGTGTTTGTTTTTTTTTTGTTGTTGTTTTCGAGTCTCTTACTGGAATAACCGTATGGACAGCTCTTTGCAGCAGAAAAGCTATTACCTGCAGGTACTGAAATGCTTGGAGAAAATATTGATAAACCCATTCAATTCCATCCCCAGTGGTCCACATATATGAGAAGGCTCTACTGGATACTGCAAGATACGTAACAGCACTTCTCTGGCTTTGTGCTGGGCAAGGATTGATTATGAAGGAAATGCTGGAAAGCTGCTGTCAGCTTTAGGGAATTGAGATTTGGAATTATATATAAAGGATTCTTATGTTTGGTAGCTGTTTTAGTTTGGGGGGGGGGTGTGTGTTTGTTTGTAAGACTTTAGACCAAATTTTTACTAAAATTTTCTCAAAAAAGAAAAGCATAACAAAAGAAATGGAACCTTGTTCTTAATGATTTTTTCTTTTTTCAGTTTTAGCTAGAATGAAAACTCCAAAATCTGTTTCAAAAAAGGCATACGTGAGGTGGGTGCTGTAATTAATGGCTTTTTATATAGTAGGTTTCTGTATCACATCTGCTATTCAGAATACAGAAAAATTAGTAAAAGTTTTAGTGGTTCATAGGCAGATATGGTTATAGGAGTGAGCACAGACAAGTTGGTGTTCAGTCTGTATGTTCAGGTCAAATGTAAAATGGTATGTTTGGAGGTGTACATGCTCTGTTGCCATTCCTATTAATGAACGTGGTTGGTAACATTTGCTGTGATCAACTGATGATGTTATATTTTGTGGCTTTTTTTTTGTTTGCTTTTTTTTTGCTAAGGCATACTTCTATTTTCCTGTTTATGCCTCCCCTTTTTCATGTTATTTGTTCATTTTGCAGTTTGAAGGACTCAGTCGATGATTTGGATGGTTTCTGCTTGGACTTGAAAGTGAGAAAAAGCCCAATAAAGCATGGCAAGTCAACAGCAAATACACAGCAGGCATTTTAATGGGTGGAAAGTTAGCATTCATTTCTGAGCTCATAAATTTCTGGGAGAGCTTGTTAATTATAAGTTCACTTTGTCTCTTGCTTGAGGCTTTTCTGTTTCCCATGGGTGTAAAAGAAGAAAGTATGCTCATACTGTTCTGACAAGTATATATTTTGAAGCATTGCTGTAGATCTGTAGGTACAGACTGTGGACTACCTGCTAGCATTTGGGTCTATGAAAACAGTACAACTCATGGCTGATTAGACTGAGCAAATGTGGGATGATCACTATGAAGAGAGGACGTAGGATATGCAAATTAGTGTTCCAGTGGCTGTAGTAGCTCATTCTGTGGTCAAAAGAGACTGAGTAAAGATAGATACCTTTAGTTAGATACCTTTAATTCAATGCACGTTTTGGCCAAGGTGTTGCAGAGCCACAGATAATACTTTAATTTGGAGCTTCTTTAGCCAAGGTCCTGTGCATAATCCTGTTAACACTGGCTACAAGATGCTCAAGCAAACCATTACTTGTGGGGGTTCAGTGCTTGTCTGAGCAGAGGATCTCTGTTTTCCCCCAAAGGATGGAAAGTGCCTTGGTTTACTAACATTCAGAGCCTGACTACACCTGTCTTGTGCACTTCCAATTGATAAGTGCAAGCTGGACTTCAGTAGAATTGGGTGAACAGGGCTCTGGAATTCTTCACACAGCCAGTAGGCCAGTGATCAGATGATAGAATTTTGGTAGATGAGGGATGATAACAGTGATCTCATGGGAACCTGGGAAAGCTCTGACCCCTGATCAAGAAGGATGGGATCGTTTGCAGCTGGTGAGAATGTCAACCTTGAAACATGTATACCAACTGCAGGCTGTAAAAAACTATTGGAATGGTTTCTGGAGGGGAAATGGGGGAAGCACAGTAGACCAGAAGCATCATTAAAAGAAAAAATCAGTCACCAAGAGGTCTGACATGATCCCTTGTTCCTGATAGGTCAAATTTGAGGTGTTAGAAGCCTTGTTTATTGATAGATGTGCACTTTGTGCTGTAGGCTATGGTCTGATCTTCACTAGGTGGTTGTATAAAGCTTTAGTATGAAATGTTCAGCTTCTACATGCACATAGCTTTCGTTGCTGGGAATGAAAATTATGCCAGCATTAGTTACTGTTCAGGATTGTTAGGCTTGATGGCTTATGTGTACATACATGTTGTTTAAGGTAACTTAAAAAAAAAAGGTATTAAAAAAATACATCATTCGGTGACTTTCCATTTAGTATGACAATAAATGGGCAAGGTATAATAAAGCAAATGGGAAGATATGTTTCTATTCTTTGTATTTTCTTATCTTTTTCAAGGACCTTTTTTTTTCTGTTAAGACAGAGGTAAGTTTCCTAAAAGAAATTATCAAAACTTTAAGCTGTTTCTTTTGAATTGCAGGACAGAAGGATCCTCAGACCACCAAGAAGTGGATGCCTTCTGGAAAGAAAAACAGTTGCTGTCAAGAACTGCAGTATCCAGAGGCTTCAAGTGACACTGATGATTCTGTCTTTGTAGAATCTGACTACCAAAAAGGGGGAGTAAAAGACCTGAAAGAGAGTCAAAAGTGCCTAAAACTCCCACCTCCACAAAATCTCAGAGAGTCAATCTCCAGAGGCAGTCCAGACTTGCAACCCAGAAGGAGAGAAAGGAGCTGTGAAAAAAGTACAGAAAATAAAGTGCCAACTGTGGCATTACAACAGAGTACAGAGATAGAATCAGATAGCTCGGATGGTGAATTTGAATCATTAATAGAACAGATAAGGAAAGGAAGTATACCTCAAAACCCTATCTTAAGCACAAATAAAACTGTCCACCAACCAAGCACAAGAGGTGAGCAATTGTTCTTGGCTGACTTGCAAGCTACTGACAGCAGTGGTGTAGTGCTGATTGCCTAATTATTTTAATTTGTGTGGCATATGTTTTAGAAGTGCAACCCAGCATCTTGCACTTGAATTTGATGCAATCAGAAATTATTCCTCTGAGTATTATGATTCTGTTAGTCTTGTGGTATCAAAGTTTAAGTTTTTCAGCATTGCTTGTTTTTATAATTCCTGTAACTGTAGGCATTTTAAAAATTGTTCTTAAAAAAAATCTAACTGGTGGTTTTGAATGATGTTCCCCAGCCAACAGAGAGAAGGCCTACTGAAACCACAGACCTTGAAGTGGTCCTTGATTTCTGGTGTGAGGGTCACTCATTTTACTAGTCTATCCAAATGTGGAATGGGGATATAGGTAGCTGTCTGATCGCAACTTGATTGTGAAACAAATAATGTGACTTATGGTACATGACAGAAGGTTAAAGTAACTTTTTCTTCAATGGTGTCTCTGCATTACTGCTCCCAGTGTGCTGGTGGTGTATTTTGAATTGTGAAGTGTTGCAGAAATACCTAAGTGAGGTCATAAATGTTTTTCCCTCTAGTTCCTCCTAGCTGAATGTTTGAAAGCTTGAAGTCTGCCACTCTTTCATTGAATGTTAATTTTTGTACTATATAACAGCAAATTACCTTTCCCTCAGTTGTATAAGCCTTCGTATTCAAGTATGCACAGTAGGAGTGTGTGTGCTGAGGTGGAGTATTTAACTTTTTCATCTTTGTCTGTTACTTGGTTGCTGATGTCTGTGTTCCAGATTCTTTGTAATCCTGTGACTCTTTCTGTTGAACTAGAAAATAACAAGTCACCCTGTGAAGATGGCCAGCCTTTGAAAGGGAAGGGAGTCAAGACACCAAGACCAAATTCTATTTCACTTCAAGAAACACCTTCCAGGATAATGGCTTCTGCAGGAACTCCTAGGAACAAATTGGTCGGTTGCTCACAGTCAGCAAAGACAGAGAAAAGGTAAATTTTTTTTTTTTTTGTAGGTTATTTTTTTTCCCTACTATGTTCTTTGACCAAATATAGATGGACAGATAGATGCTAAGCATTTTGCTTAGGATGACATTCTGATTTTTCTGGTACCTAGAAACTTCTGCTACCAAATCAGCAGTTGTTAAGTAGCTGTAAATCAAAGCTTTCAGTCACGGGTGTGACGGGGAGAATATAAACTAATCTCTGCTGAGAGGAATTAATGACTAAAAAATGTGGCAAATACCAAATCTTTTTTGTAAATGGTAGCTCTCTTGCTATTCTTTGTCTTGGCACAGCGTACTTCTAACATGGCTGGCCCCATGCATTCTATTTATCCATCTGCTATTTGTGACCTCACTTAGGTCACTTAGACATTTCTGTGACACTTCACCAGTTCAAAATACACCACCAGCACACTGAGAGCAGTAATGCAGAGACACCATTTGAATTAAAAAATGACTTTAACCTTCTGTTGTGTACTATAAGTCACATTATTTGTTTCACAATCAAGTTCTGATCAGATAGCTACCTATATCCCCATTCCACATCTGGACAGATTGGTAAAATGACTGACCCTCACACCAGATTATAGACTCTATTTATCCATCCAGACTGATGCTATTAATAATACATGCCTTTTTAACAAGCTTGCTTTGATATTTTTGACTAGTATTCTCAGAACTTGCAGCATTCATCTTTCTTTTTCTACAGATGCAATTTAAGCTTTTCAGGAGAACATCCTTTTCATTTATGGTGGTAGCTGCCTTTGTTCTGCCTTTTAGCCCTGTGATGTTTCCTTTAGTCATTTTATGATTGTGTATACCAATACAAAATCTTTAAATGGTGTCTTCAAAGCTGATACTTTGTCAGAATGTTGCAGTATTGGAGTTAGTAAAATACCTGCTTCCCCTGACTGAATTCCTGAGGATTCCCAAAAGGTGAGGAGGATGGAGCGAGGAGATGGCTGGTCTCTTCTCCCAAGGAACAAGTGACAGGACAAGAGGAAACAGCCTTAAACTGTGCCAGGGGAGGTTTAGACTGGATATTAGGAACTGTTTCTTCCCCAGAAGGTGCTCAGGCATTGGAACAGGCTGCCCAGGGCAGCGGTGGAGTCACCATCCCTGCAAGTGTTCACACACTGTGTAGACAAGGCCCTCAGTGGCATGGGCTAGTGGTGGCCTTGGCAGTGCTGAGGAACAGTTGAACTTGATGATCTTGATGGTCTTTCCCAAGCTGGTTGGTTTGATGATTTCTGTGTTTCTAAAAATACTCTTTATTGTGGGTGATCATGTTAGGGCTGTTCAGATATGGATCAAGTTTTGGTATAATAATGGCTCACTGTGTCACAAAGATCTGAGCTACCCTCTTTTCCTATTTAGGAATCCTCATAATCTAGTTTTGTGAATTAATAAAGTAATTTCAGAACTGTTGATCGAAGGAGGTGATCCTGCCCCTGTCCTCTGCTCTCATGAGACCTCACTTGGAATATTGTGTACAATTCTGGTGTCTTCAACATAAAAAGGATATGGAGCTGTTGGAGCAAGTCCAGAGGAGGGCCATGAGGATGGTAAGGGGGCTGGAGCACCTCCTGTGTGAAGACAGGCTGAGAAAGTTGGGGCTGTTCAGGCTGAAGAAGAGAAGGCTGTGTGGAGACATCAGAGCAGCCTTCCAGTATCTGAAGGGGACTACAAGGATGCTGGGGAGGGACTCTTCATCAGGGACTGAAGTGGTAAGACAAAGGGTAATGGATTAGAACTTAAACAGGGGAAGTTTAGGTTAGATATAAAGAAGAAGTTCTTTACTATGAGGGTGGTGAGTCACTGGAATGGGTTGCCTAATGAAATTGTGAATGCTCCATCCCTGGCAGTGTTCAAGGCCAGCTTGGATAGAGTCTTGGGTGACATGGTTTAGTGTGAGGTGTTCCTGCCCATGGCAGGGGGGTTGGAACTGGATGATCTTAAGGTCCTTTCCAACCCTAACTGTTCTATGATTCTGTTGCAACAGCTCTGCCTCTTCATGCCCCTGAAGGGGCAAGAAGATGCTATAAGCCGATGTTTCCCACTGCCTCTTGAGGGCAAGCCAGAGAAAAGTCAGGAGAGCTTTATGTCAGTGGCAGCATCCCAGAGATCTTTATTGGCTATGAAATGGCTATTATTTTTCAATTTACTTCAGTAAACTGCTTTGTTTTTTCTTGCAGGCTCAGGGTGTGCTCAGTGCCTGGCTGTTTCTTGCAAGATCTCTCAAATCCAGGTTCCCACTATGTGAGGTATTTTAAGAAAAATAAAGAGGAGCTGGCATGGAAACTCTACTGTCTGTATAATAGCACCATTTTTGACCAGAAGGTTGGCTTCAAAACAAAACCTACAATTTTAAAATGTTAAAATGTGGCTCCTTGCCTTTTGATGTGATTGCTCTTTATCCTCTTCAGTTAGTAGAAGTTAAGCTTTACAGCAATGGCTTATGTTTGAACTAGTTCGAACAATTTCTTTGAAAGGGTTTTATTACCACTGTGGTGCAGCGGTTTACAGCTTGGCTTGCTTTCCCAGCTGTAGCGGTGTACCATCTGTAAGTGAGCAGTCTGGATGTTGTCCAAGAGTCCTTGATGAGAGAAACTGCTACATGAGGGGCCTTTGATCAGTTTCATCTTTGAATGATACTTATCTTCATGAGTTTTATAGTACCTGCATGGTTATCAGCTAAGCAGCCTGAGAATCTTTTTGTTGCTACCTCTGTGGTAGTGGACCCCAGCAAAGGCGGCTATGGCTTTGCTGCTGAAAGAAGGTTGCATATCACTGTTGCTCATTAAGCTTTTACAGAAGTAACATGTACTAGTGAACTCTTCAGCATTATCATAGCCTAACAGCTAATTGTAACACAACTTTCTAGCCTCCAGCTGACAAAAGGCAAGTGGTGGGAGCATATGTTGGGGATAAGGGAGCTAGCTAATGAGTAAAAGCTCTTCCCTTTGTTGTTAGGGCCTGTCATGGTACATGCAGTTTTAGTTCGTTCCTATTGCATGTTCATGTTTGTCATTCTGGAACGGACAAAAAAGCTGTTTATTCTTTGACTAACAGTTCTGGGTGAACCTAAAGCTGTAAGTTGTGTTCAAATTGAAGGTTCAGTTTCAGAGAACTGCTGTCTTGACCTTTAAATCTTCTGGGATACTGGAGACTCTCCTCTGGTGAGAAACATCTGTGAAAGGAAGGATGCTGCTCTCAGTAATTCCAATAGCATTTCCTTCAGGAGGCAAAAGGTGTCTGTGCAGCTGAGAATACGTTGTGGAGCTGAGCAAGGACACATTGAGGTCATGGGAGCTGAGCTGATCAGGCTCACTACTGCTGAAAGCAAAATATTTTGCTCACCAGTACTAGCACTTAACTACTTAACTACTGCTGGACCATTTATTTAAGCTTATTAACTAATTTGGATGACAAAAAAAGTGATAGTAAAAGAACAGAGTTAACTGAGATAGATATTATGAGGGGTTATCAAATCAGAAGCAACACAGAGAATAAGCAAGGGATGATTTTTCTCCCTCTCACAGTGTGAAGGTGCATCAAATTAAAATGGCAAGTTGCAGGTTCAGAACAACCAAAGCAAATGGTACTTGACCTCTAAATTATTAAGCAGTAGAGCTTCTGATAGGAGACTATAATTGTGGTCTGTGTGCTAACCATGCACGCGTCTAAGAACGTACATACATGTACTCCCCAAAACACCAGAAAACACTTCTAAGGGCTGTTTGTTTAATAAAGAGGAACCACCTGTGGCTCAGTGAGGTGGTGTCTTGCAAAGTGACTAGCAAAAATAGGAGTCATCTTTTTTGAAGAGGAAATTTTTCTGTTTCATTGCTGACCTTGTATTTCCTCTTAAGCAGCATGTGTTAGCCACTGTTCAAGGCAGAATAGAGGAGCCAAAGGACTTTTTGTCTCATCCTGCATTGTGAAACTCCCAGTGTTGGTTACAGAAAAACTGAGGATAGGAATGACAAGGAGGAGGGTGGGTTTGCATCTTGAATGACAACAGTGTTAAGGGCACTAACAGGCACCTCCTTTGCTGGCTTTGCAGTAAATATAAGGGGAAGCCAGAGGTCCAAAAGGAGAGATGTAGGAGAGGGCAGATTACACATACTGTTTTGTTTTGCAGTTACCAGACAAAATGGAAATAATCTGGAATAAGAAAATGAGGAAAACAGCAGGATATTGTGTAACTGGGCAGACAGAAGGTCCTGAAGCAAAGCGTTACGCTCGCATAGAACTTTCTGAGAAAGTCTGTGACTCTGCAGGTAGGTAAAAGAAAAAATACACACACAGTACACACACAGTATGCTAGAGATTGGAAGGGACCTCAGAAGATCATCAAGTCCAATCCCCCTGCTGGAGCTGGAACACCTAGATAATGTTACACAGGAATGTGTCCAGGTGAGTTTTGAATGTCTCCAGGGAAGGAGACTCCACAACCTCCCTGGGCAGCCTGTTCCAGTGTTCTGTCACCCTCACTGAGAAGAAGTTTCTTCTCAAGTTTAAGTGGAACCTCTTGTGTTCCAGTTTGTACCCATTACCCCTTGTCCTATCATTGTTTGCCACTGAGTAGAGCCTGGCTCCATCCTCGTGACACTCCCCCTTTATATATTTATATACACTAATAAGGTCACCCCTCAGTCTCCTCTTCTCTAAACTATAGAGACCCAGCTCCCTCAGTCTTTCCTCATAAGGGAGATGCTCCACTCCCTTAATCATCTTAGTTGCCCTGCACTGGACTCTCTCCAGCAGCTCCCTGTCCTTCTTGAACTGAGGGGCCCAGAACTGGACACAATGTTCCAGATGCGGTCTCACCAGGGCAGAGTAGAGGGGAAGGAGGACCTCTCTCGACCTACTAACCACCCCCCTTCTAATACACCCCAGGATGCCATTGGCCTTCTTGGCCACAAGGGCACAGTGTTGGCTCATGGTCATCCTGTCATCCACTAGGACCCCCAGGTCCCTCTCCCCTACACTGCTCTCTAACAGGTCGTTTCCCAACCTATACTGGAACCTGGGGTTGTTCCTGCCCAGATGCAGGACTCTACACTTTCCCTTGTTATATTTCATCAAGTTATTCGCTGCCCAACTCTCCAGCCTGTCCAGGTCTTGCTGGATGGCAGCACAGTCTTCTGGCGTGTCAGCCACTCCTCCCAGCTTAGTGTCATCAGCAAACTTGCTGATAGTACACTTGATTCCCTCATCTAAATGGTTGGTGAATATATTAAATAATACTGGTCCCAGTACTGACCCTTGAGGCACTTCACTAGTTACAGTCCTCCAACTAGACTCCGCCCCATAGACTACAACTCTCTGGCTTCTCTCCTTCAGCCAGTTCACAGTCCACCTCACTACCTGATCATCCAGACCACACTTCCTCAATTTAGCTGTGAGGATGCTGTGGGAGACTGTATCAAATGCTTTGCTGAAGTCAAGGTAGACCACATCCACCGCTCTGCCATCATCCATCCACCGTGTTATTTCCTCGTAAAAGGCTAAGAAATTAGTCAAGCATGATTTCCCCTTGGTGAAGCCATGTTGACTGCCCCTCATAACCCTCTTATCCTTGATATGCCTTAAGATGGCACCAAGGACAAGGTGTTCCATCACTTTCCCAGGGATGGAGGTGAGGCTGACCGGTCTGTAGTTACCTGGGTCCTCCTTCTTGCCCTTTTTGAAGACTGGAGTGACATTTGCTTTCCTCCAGTCCTCAGGCACCTCTCCCGTTTCCCAAAATACGTTGATTCTTCTGTGAGATAGCAAGTTCTAGAGAGAAAAACATGAATGTGAGGCTTAATTGATATGGAACAGGACCCTGCTTTGATATTTCATATTATCTTAAATAAATAATTCCATTAATTGTAGTACTTGTCTTCACAACCCTTCTGAGAGGCTAGACAAATTTACAGAAATGTGAGAACAGAGATATATTAATGCTAATTGCAATATTTTGCTTATATTACTGATTTGAAGAACTGTAGGTTACTCATATGTACTATAATGACAATCTAAAATCTGACTCATCCATCATAACTAGCCACCTTATTGGTCATATTTGAATCTGGAATAAAGATAGGTCAGTGTCAAATTAAGTTCTGTTGTGTGGTGGGTACTGTAACTGTTACTTCTCCCTCATCCCCTCTCAATTTGGGGAACTTAATGTTTCACTTACCATAGAAGAACCAGTTCTAGAAATGATAGAATATTTTTAAATAAGCTTAATAAATCTTATAGATCAGATCATGAGAGATCATAGTATCATAGAATCCCAGACTGGTTTGGATTGGAAGGAACCTTAAAGATTATCCATTTCCAGCCCGTTGCCACGGGCAGGGACACCTTCCACTAGAGCAGATTGCTCCAAGCCCTGTCTAGCCTTGCCTTGAACACTGCTAGGGATGGGGCAGCCACAGCTTCTCTGAGCACCCTGTGCCAGCACCTCATCACCCTCACAGGGAAGGTCTTCTTCCTAATGTCACCTCAGTCTCCCCTCTGGGGCAGGTGAAAACCATTCCCCTTGTCGTGTCCCTACAGGCCTTTGTCCAAAGCCCCTCTCCAGCTTTCCTGTCAGCCTTTTTATTTATTGGATGATTTATAAGGTGTCCTTGGAGCCTTCCCTTCTTCAGGCTGAACAAGGCTAACTCAGCCTGTCGCCGTAGGAGAGGTGCTCCAGAACAAGCATACAACTGCTCTGGAATTAGAACAGAATTCCCTGGGAATCTGCTTTTGAGGGCTTAGTAGTCCACAAGTGCTCATCAGTTTTTAAGAAGTACCTTTTAGAAGCAGGGGAGCAAGCAATCCTGTGTCGTAAGTCAAGCAGGCAGGGCAGGAGACTAGCTTGGCTGAACAGGGAACTCCTTGTGGAGGTCAAGGGGAAAAAGAAATTGTACGATCTCTGGAAGTAAGGTCTGGCTTTGCATGAATATTACAGAGCTATGGTTTTTATATGCAGGGTGAAGACATGAAAGGCCAGAGCTCATTTGGAGTTGAAACTTGCCAGTGTTGTCAGATAGCAAGGAACGCTTTTTTTAAGTATGTTAATAGCAAGAGGAGGTCTAAAGAAAACATTGGACTGATGTTTATAATCAGCAGACTAAATAGGGATGAATGAAAAAGAAGAGGTATTCAATGCTACTTTTTGCCTGAGTCTTTACTGTCAGACCTTGGGCTGCTCAGTCTCCTGAGTCGGAGGACTACAAGTGTGGACACTGAAGTTGTCAAAAACCAGCTGTATGTCCACATACATGTCACAAGTCCATGGGGCCTGATGGGATTTACCGCACAGTACTGAAAGAGTTAGCCAGAGTTATAGCAGGACACCTCTCGATCATCTATGAAAGGTCTTGGGAGCCTGGGGAGGTCCCTGCTGATTAGAAGACAGCCAGTGTTATTCTGGTTTGCAAGAAGGACATGGGGGAATATGCAGAAAACTAGAGACCTGTTTAGTCTAACCTCACTTTGTGCAAAAATTATGGAGATGATTGCTTTGAGTACTATTGAACAACAATTAAAGAATAATGCAACATAAGACACAGTCAGCATGGGTTCACAAAGGGAAAGGCCTGTTTAACTGATTTGATATCCTGCTATGATAAGGTCACCCACTTAGTGGATGAAGGAAGGCAGTGGATGTAATTTTTTTTTGGTATTTAGTAAGGCTTTTGATACTGTCCCTCACAGCATCCCTCTGGAGAAATTGTCCAACTGTGGGATGAATAGGTTCATGGTGTTCTGAGTGAAGAAGTGGCTGAAGGGCAGATCTCAAAGGGTTGCAGTGCATGGGGCTACATCTGGCTGGCAGCGGCTCACTGGTGGTGTTCCTCAGGGTTTCATTATAGGGCCAGTCCTGTTCAATATATTTATCAATTATATGGATGCAGAAGTTGAATGCACCTTTAGCAAGTTTGCTGATGATACCAAACTGGGAGATGTTGTTAACTCTTGAGGGAAGGTGGCCTTGCAGAGGGATCTAGCTAGATTGGAGCATTGGGTGATGATTAATGGGATGCAATTTAGCAAGTCCAAATGCTGGATTCTGTACCTGGGATGAAATAATGCTGGGCACAAGGATAAACTGTGAGAGGAATGGCTGCAGAGCAGCTCTGCAGAAATGGATCTGGGGTGCTGGTTGAAAGCAGGCTCAGCAGGAGCCAACAGTGTGCCCTGGCAACCAAGAGGGCAAACTGCATCCTGGGGTGCATCAACCACAGTATAATTAGCTTGTGAAAAGAAGTCACTATCCTGCTGTATTCAGCTTTGGTATGGCCTCATCTTAAGTGTTGTGTGTGGTTCTGGGCCCCATAATGTATTAAGGACGTGAAGGTACTTAAATGCATCCAGAGGAGGGCAACAAAGCTGGTGAAAGGTCTGGAAGAAATGGCATATGAGGAGTGACAAAGGACTTTGGGTTTGTCTTGTTTGGAGAAAAGGAGGCTGAGGGGTGACCTCGCTGCTCTGTACAGCTTCCTGAAGAGGGGAATTGCTGAGCTCCTCTCTCTGGGATCCAGAGATAGGACATATGGGAATGGTTCAGAGCTGTGCCAGGAGACCTTTAGACTGAACATCAGGAAGCATTTCTTTACCATGAGGGTGGTTAAACACTGGAACAGGCTTTCTAGAGAAGTGGTCAATGCACCCCATGCCTGTCAGTGTTTTAAGAGGCATTTGGACAATACCCTTAATTGCCACAGAAAATATATGGACTCAGTCAGAGATCAATATGATCAGACCAAAGACATTTATTATAGAGTATCAATCCTTTTTATACTGTTTCTCTGCCTCGGCTTACAATAGCTTGCTGTATTATAATTGGATACATTTTCTTGTAATACACCACAACTACAGTTACATTTACAATAGCTCACTGTATCATATTTGGATACATCATCAATAGCTCGCTGTAGTATAATTAGATACATGTTCAATAGCTTGTATGATGATTGAATGCATATACAATAGCTCAGTATGCTATGCTTTGATTCATATTCCTGCAGCACACAGCAACTAGTAACAATAAGCGTACGAGAACTTAACCTTTAAAATTTGCTAACAGTCCACTATTTCGTATCTTAGCACAGTCCAGTTTCTTCTTACCTTGCTTGCACTGATACTTTTGCTACTGCTACTTTTGCTTCTTTACCCACATCCTCCTTCATCCTCTGTTCATGTCGAGCTCCATGTAGGCACTTGCTGACTTGGGAACATGGCCATTCTTTGCTAAAAATCCATCCACACTTAATACCATGCTGTAACTTTTGGTCAAGCAGTTGGACTAAGTGATCACTGCACATCCTGTCCAGCTGAAATATTCCATTCTAATTGTGGAGAAAATTTCGTGCTCTGTTCTAGTTGTTTCTGGAGGAAAAATGTCAGTGTTACAAAAAAAAAAAATCAATGAATCTTGGTCTATATAAACGTGTTTAGGGTCTCATCTAAATAAAAAAAAGAAACAAAAACCCAACAGAAAACAAAACAACAGAACAAACAGAAAAAAAAGCCCCCAAAACCAAACCAACCAAGCAGAAAAAAACAGATTAGGTGTGTAGGGAAGTAACTAGGATGCAGAATTAAGGCTAATCACAAAACTGGAAATCCACTGAGTGAAATCTTGGTTTTGGACATTTTATCTGATCAAAACATTGGTAATTCCAACCTCCAAAATAAGTCATAGAATTGTAGAATGGTTTGGGTTGGAAAGGACCTTAAGATTATCTAGTTTCAGCCCCTGTCATGGGCAGGGGTGCCTCACGCTAGACCATGTCACCCAAGACTGTCCAAACTGGCTTTGAACACTGCCAGGGATGGAGCATTTTCCACTTCTTTGGGCAACTTGTTCCAGCACCTCACCACCCTCACAGTAAAGAATGTCTTTGTTAGATCTAACCTGAACTAGCCCTGTTTAAGTTTGAACCCGTTACATCTTGTCCTGTCACTCAAAACCCTGATGAAGCCTTGCATCTCTATACTAAGTGTTAAAGCATTGGCCAAGGATGAAAGTCTGTACTTCCCCGTACCTGACTGATCTCGATATCTTTTGTTTGCCTTACCCCAAGATCGTCTTCGAGACACGCTAGTTCATGAAGCTTGCCATGCGGCCACCTGGCTGATCAATGGTGTTCGCGATGGACATGGACGATTCTGGAGATACTATGCCAATAAATCAGCTGTGATTCATCCAGAACTACCAGTAGTAGCACGTTGCCACAGCTATGAGATTAATTACAAATTCATCTATGAGTGTGTTCTGTGCAAAGCTACGTGAGTAATGTTTTGGTCTTACATATGACTGTGTATTAACTTTGTCTCAAATTTGGCAGTCTCCTATATCTAGAAATGATGGGTCTCTTAAACTGGGGTACTCTTGAGTTGTCACTTCGCGCTTCCTAAGCCGTCAGATCCTCGTTATGCCATTCCACATGTTTGTTTTCAGGTAGTCTCAGTTCCATTTCAGAGGTCAGGACAGGCTGAAGTGTCTTCCGAGAACCATTGGTGATGATGGAAGGTCTTTGGGAAGCAGTAAGAGATAAGAATATGTGCCTTGGCTTTTAATGACATGGCAGGAAAAGGTCACCTCACGTGGCTGCTCTCACCTTTCAAACATTGCTCAAACGATGTAAATTTGGATTCACCTTCTACTGTAGTTAATATTGAGTGAACTTGTGAAAGCTTTTGACCACTTAACTTTGATGTCATGATCGATTGATCCCATTATAGGCTTTTTGGTAGGAGGAGTATTTCCACTCTTATCTAAGTACTACATCAGAGAATCAGCTAGGTTGGAAATGACCTTTAAGATCAACTCTAACTGTTACCCCAGGACTGCCAGGTCCACCTCTAAACAATATCGAGTAATACTTGTAGGCCTACACTGATAGAACAATGAATGGATCTGGCACAAAGCTGTAGAATGCATGTAAGTAAAGTACTAGCATTTGTTGCAGAAATGAGCCATTCCAAGTTTATTTGACATCTGTTCACATTTTACATCTTAGAAAGTAACATCTTTGACTGTTACTTTGAATGTGCCATGACAACAATCTAGGTTTGATCTAAGGAAAAGCAGTCCACAGGGAATGCTAGACATGGCATGGTCAATTGAATTGCTTTTTATATGCTTATCCTTGTAAAGATACTGAGGACCATCTGATGCTGAAGTCAGTCAGTAGTAACTGGAATTCAAAGGCAGAACAAATCCCCATAAAAACTAGGCACAAAATGTGTCACAGTATTTAGATACTAGAATAAAGCACCAGAAGAAACTTTCTGGGGTTTGTATCTTTGACTTGAATTAAGACTAAACATTTTTCCTAATCTTGTTACAGTAGTATTAAGTAAAATGTAGAAACAAACAATATAACGATTTCTATTGGTTTAAAACTATAAAACCGGTAGTCAGTTTTCTAGTTGATCTTTTACCTCATGGACTCTTTCAGCTTGTGTATCTATTAAAGGAAAATAGATATCTGCAGCCACACAGGTGTCAGCAGCACTGTAATGTGAAGAACTGAAGTTGGAGACATACTGCTGATAGATTGCAACACTGGTCATCAGACTTCTGTCTTGCTTACTGTATTTGTTAAATGAGAACTATATGTGTTGCTGAGATCAAGCATAAGTAATAGTTGCTATAGTAATTTCCCAGGTTTTTTACCTTTCATGGGTGTGGAAAGTGTCACTTTTTCTGGAAGATCATAGCTGACCCCAGGCTTCTGTATGCAGTGACCTTGGTCTCAGTGGGAGAGCATGAAGTTTTGTGAATTCAGTTCTGCATAGCCTGGGAAAATGGTTGACAATGGTGTGGGGGGTTTTAATATTAAAAAAGAATAAATTATCTCCCCCTTCCCCCCCTCCCCTTTAAGGGCTAAGTGCATCCTTACAAAGCATGCATGGAATTTTTTTTTTTTTTTCCATCAGGGTCATGCATGCTGCTTCCAGAAGCACCAGAGGGAAAGAGTATTTCACATATAAAAGAATCTTCCTGAAGTAGTTAATATGGTTATGCAATGCATTAGTTACTTAGATGCGACAGAGCATTTAGATTTGAATACCTAAAGGGAGCTGACAAGAAGTTTGGAGAGGGACTTCTCACAAGGGCCTACAGGGATGGGCCAAGGGAGAATGGCTTTTACCTGCCAGAGGGGAGATTAAGATAAGACATTAGGAAAAAATTATTTTCTAAGAGAGTGAGTAAGCCAGGTTGGACGGTGCTTGGAGCAACCTGGCAGGGGTTGGAACTAAATGAGCTTTAAAGTTCTTTCCAACACAAACCATTCTATGATTCTGTGATAAGATTTGATGGTGATGGCTTTGGAGAGAAACTTGAAGGAGGGGTAGTTGATACGTGGGTTGTGGAGGTGTTTTGAATTGTTGCAGCACTTTATACTACTAGACTGAGAGTAAAAGAGACACAGGAAGGACCCAAGCTGAAAAAGCAGTGGAAAAAGTTCTAGGGTAGAGAAATGTGTAATACAGATTTGATTGTTCCACTGTGTGAAGTATGTAGTTTGTTCCTTGCTCTAAAATGCTAGTTTAGAAATCTGACCTAAGTAGCCTGGCAGAAGAGAAAGGAGCCCTTTCCTACAAGTACTGTCTACTGCAATTGTGAAATCAAAGTGCTTATTTTTCCATTTCAGGACTGGACGTCATTCCAAGTCTCTGGACACAGAGCGCTTTGTGTGTGCATTCTGTGGGGGGCAGCTGGTCCTGAGTCGGCCCACTTGGAAGGGTGGTACTCTTGCTAGGACACGTCTAATGCCCTTTGCAAAGCATGTGGAAGAAAACTATGGACTTACTAAGAGAGAGCAGCCTGGCCTGAGTCCTGCAAAAGTCATGCAGGAACTCAGTGCTGATTTTGCTTTAAAAACTAGGCTTCAAGATTCCTCGTAATATCTCAATACACTCCTTTTTTGATGCTATTTAAATTTTGCATGTAGTAGTATATAACATTAATCTAAGAATGTGTTTTGGAATATTCCAGATAATATTTTGGCATTAAATACTTCTAATAAAGGAAACCTTATAGATTGTTCTAAAATTGGCCGGAGTGAACAAGAAGTGTAATGATGATAGAAAGTCCATGGCAATACACAAGTCAGTCTTAAGACTTCAGAGAAACATCAACTGTGCCTGGGAAAATGCAGTTCAATGCCCTTCATGGGACTGATTTGTTATGTTTGGAATTTTCTGAATGGTAATTACATGTAGTGCTTCATAGCATGCCTTCAGTGTCTCCATGAGCAATGGATTTACTCTTTCATCTGGATAGCTGATATGCTGTAGACTCTGTGCTGAAGACCTGCTAGGTGTTCATCTGTCCATTCTTGCTTAGATGCAAGATGAATCCAGGCCCAAAAGCCAAAATCCTATGGTATGTCTTGATGGCTTCCAGTGCCAGGCCTGAGGAAGGCCTCAATATGGGTTCAGGCATTCTCCCAAAGAGTTTCTTGAGTGGTTCTTGGCTGTTTTTGTTAAAAGCGGTAGGTAAGTGATGCCTCAAATGTGTTGGAGAAAGTGTGAGTTTCTGCAAAGCTTTCTGGCCCATAGTGAGATCAAGCTCTTGATTCAGTTTTAATTTGCCTTTATCACTGAGATTTCATAGAAGCCAGCGAACACAACTATATGCTGTTGCCTGCTATATGACACTTCTATGGCTCATCAGCTAGATGCCCATCTCCACCACTCTGGGCTTTGAAAAGAAGATATGTGCTGTCATGATCATCAGCAGAGAGTGAAGTTATGGGGAAAGCCGGCAGCAGCAGCAGGAGTCTCCCAGAACTGTCCTCAGGTCACCATTGACTGACCCTGACTTCCCTCCGGTCATCACCTCAACAAGGAGTGAACTTCGATGAAACCCAGATGAGCTCAGCAGTGACCAGATGAGTTCTGCAGTGTTGTCAGCAGGCAAGAATCCAACACTACACACTGTCTCTCCTGCCCTGAAAGGCTGTTAACAACAGGTGAAGCCTGACGTTATGGACTGAATGAATACAGCAAATTTATGGGAATGGTCCATGGACTAAGGAATGGTATCTATCTGTGTGCGTGTGTGTGTGTGTATGTATATATATATATATATAATAAGAAATATGGAATAAGAGGTGGATACTGTCCTGGTGCAGTTGTAACAGGTTGGTTTTTTTTTTCCTCCTTCTTAGTAGCAGGTGCAGTGCTGTGGTTTGGCTTTAGTCTGAGAACAATGCTGTAACACACCAATGTTTTAGTTGTGGCTCAGTCCAGTCAAGGACTTTTCAGTCTCATAGCTCTGCCAGTGAGGAGGGGCACAAGAAGCCAGCAGGAAGCAGAGACAGGACACCTCACCCAAACTAACCAAAGGGGTATTCCATACCACAGCACGTCATGCCCAGTATATAAACTGGGGGCAGTCACCTGGAAGGCCCAGATCGCTGCTTGGGTCAGGCTGGGTATCAGTCGGCACGTGCTGAGCAATTGTTATTCCCTTGTTATTTCCCTTACCATTATTATTACTGGTGGTAGCAGTAGTGGTTTGTGTTATACCTTAGTTACTGGACTGCTCTTCTCTCAACCCATGAGAGTTACATTCTTTTGGTTCTCCTCCCCATCCCTCCGGGAGTGGGGAGAGGAAGAAGTGGGGAGCGAATGAGCAGCTGCATGGTTCTGTTACAGGCTGGATTTAAACCACGACACCCGCAAATCTGTTCCCTTGCCTGGGAATGTACTTTTCTGTTACGGGATCTCAAAGGAAATAAACTGTGAAAAGTGGAAGAAACATCCAAAAGTTCTGGTGAGAGCACCGTTACTGAAACGGAGGAAGGGAAGAAGAACAAAGCACCCAAGCAGCCAAAGCTTGTCCATGAGATCCCCACGGAACTGTGTGTAAATGATGTGCCTGACCTGTTGGAGGACGAACTGAAGAGCTCAATGAAAAAGGATGTTTAGAATGGCTCTGCCAGGTTAAAGCTCCAGGTAAAGGGAGTTAATTGCTTCGGAATTGGTAGTGGCTCATGTAGTGCTGCTGTCACAGAAGCTGATGCATATGATGTACTGCTCAGCTAAAGGCGCTTGCTACCTTTGATTTCTGTTCTCTTTGTGTGCTAGATTCCCAGACTTGACCATCAGAGATCTAGAGAAACAGGAAAGAGAGAAATTGGCCAGCAGCTTGGAGTCATTCATCCTTGAGACCCAGGTAAGAGAGGGATATAAAGAAATGAGAATACCTGGAGAGCAGGTAGAAGTGTCTTGTGCAGCTTGGCTGATCTGAATGCAGTGAAGTTGTCTGGGCTGGGGGGTGATTTGGAGAAAACTCCAGGAACAAACTTGCCAACAAAGTTTTCAAGTTTCAAGCAGGTATTTACTGCGGCGCCAAGAGACACTGGGGACAGCTCCTCCTAATGCGTGTCCCCGTGTTGCTACACAAGCCGCCCTTATATAGTCCCTGAGCATACATACATATTCATGAGGCTACATATGGATTACATTATTTTCTAGAAAGTTCCCTGCATGCATACAGAATTGTGGTGGTGGTCTCTGAGGGTCATTTACTTCTTCCAACAATCTTCACCGCTTCTGGCAGCCTTTGAAGCATGTGCAGTAGATGGTTGTATCAGCTTAATTGGTTTGTTAGCACCAGCGACGTAATAATCCTCCTATCCTCCTACTTATTAGTTGGTTTAACTGTAGCCCATCCTGGACACCTGCTATTCCCAGATACTCCTTATCCCTGTGTCCTGTTCTTCTAGACTGTTTTTCTTAAAATTACTTCAGCTGTAATTTATCTTGTGCAAGAATTCTTAGTATGTTCTCTAGGTGTACTCTACTTTTTTTTTCTGTGTATCATGCAGCTCAGTAATTTTCCATTGCTACTGTTAAAAAGCCATCAAACTTAACATTGCTTAAAACTGTTTCTAAAGGTTTATTCTGTTTTGGAATTTTGTGCCCCCCATTGTCTCAGGGGAGATGATTTGAAGAGCCCACCTTTTGTCTTTCAGTCATTTTTCCACTACCTTTAGGCTTGCCAAGCACATGGGGACTTGATAGAAATGCAAGACTTGCCCCAAGTGTGTCTAACACATTAGGCTTTAGGTTTCTGTGCACCTAGCCAGGAGTTTTGGAACACTTGCACTTGGGCTGTAAAGAAGCTACAGCTCCTCAAGAACCACTGCTGTGTGGTTAAGTGCATGTGAAGTTCCGGTGGTTGCAGCTTTACCATCATGTACCTGATGTGCACGTGTCTATACACTTGCTGTGTTACCACCATGCTTCTGGTAATACTGGGAGCAGGAACTCAGATTTGGGAGGGTTGAGTGATAATCTCCTGGCCAGTGCAGTCAGCGCCCCAGGAGTCCACTCTGGCCCTGTTACAAGGGGGTGACTGGGTGGTTTTATGCTTCCGCACTCAGTGGTATTTGATGGGAGCGCTTCCTTTGTTCTTTGCAGGAGAAGCTTTACGAAGAGGAGCATCTGTTTTTCTCATCAGGGGAGCAGAGAGAAGACATTTCCAAAAAGCTTAGCGAGGCTTCTGTTTGGATGGAGGAGGAGGGCTCTGCAGCTGCAACTAGGGTACTGCTGCGTGTATTCAGGATACCAGGCACTGTCGCTACCATGGAAATAACCACACAGGCTGACTTGAGGATCAGTCCACCTCGATCCTTTCTAATCTGTTTTTTGCAAGTCTCTTGCTTCCCCAGTGCATTTTGCACAGAATAAAACACCATGTTCTTGCAGCTGTGAATGAGCAGCTTGAGCAGTAACTGGTGAAGTTACTGTACTGCAGCCCATCCTTTTCCACCTTTCTCTCCTGATGCCTGTGACAGGCAGGGGGAGGGCAAGAAAAGGGGGAGACTCGAGGTCGACCCCTCGGCTTTTGGAGTCGGGGATATAAAGGATCTGAGGCCAGCTATACCCCAACTGAGAAAGAGATACTGGCAGCCTATGAAGGGGTTCGAGCTGCTTCGGAAGTGATTGGCACTGAAGCACAGCTCCTTCTGGCACCCCGGCTGCCCGTGCTGGGCTGGATGTTCAAAGGCAGGGTCTCCTCTACACATCATGCAACCGATGCTACATGGAGTAAATGGGTTGCACTAATTACACAACGAACTCGAATAGGAAATCCCAGTCGTCCAGGCATTCTAGAAGTCATCATGGACTGGCCAGAGGGCAAAGATTTCGGAATGTCACCAGAGGAGGAGGTGATGCGCGCTGAAGAGGCCCCACCATATAATAAACTGTCAGAAAGTGAAAAGCAGTATGCCTTGTTTACTGATGGCTCTTGCCGTATTGTGGGAAAGCATCGGAGATGGAATGATAATAATGATAAAGGAAATAACAAGGGAAGAGAATACATCATCTCACCACCAGCCGACCGATAACTCGCCCCCCCCAGCCCGACCAAGCTCTGACCGATACCTCCTCCAACCCCGCAGTCTCCCAGCCCTTCCAGCTAACTCCCAGTTACCTCCTGGACATGACGTGCTGTGGTATGGAATACCTCTTTGGTCAGTTTGGGTCAGGTGTCCTGTCTCTGCTTCCTCCTGGCTCCCCCTCCTCCCTGGCAGAGCATGAGGCTCACAAAGTCCTTGGCCAAACCAAAACATCGCTTGTTATCAGCTCTGTTCCCGAGCTGAAAGTCAAAACACTGCACTGCACCAGCTACCAAGAAGGGGAAAAATGACTGCTACTGCTGAACCCAGGACATTATCCACCCCTTATTCCATACCATTCACGTCATGCTCAGATCCCACATTTTCAATATACCATCACTCTTATCTCAGTGCACTCTTATCTTAGTGCATGGACCAGTCCCTATAAAGCTGCTGAGTCCATCTGGTCCATGATGTCAGGCTCCGTCTCTTGTAACAGTCTTCCAGAGCAGGAGAGACTGTGTGCAGTGTTCACACTCATGAATAACCTGGGCAATAGTGTCCATTGCTAAGTCCACCCCTCGATCATGAGTCCATCTCTGTGTTGCATCTCTGCTCTGATGGCCTGAAGTGCATTGGGCCCACCAGGCTCAAAATAATTCACTGTCCCCTTCAGCAGTTTCTGCAGCTTGTTGCTGGGGACTCCATACAGCTGCCTTCCATCTCCAATGCTTCCAAAGCACTGGAGGGGCCCAGTGGACTAGATACTTGCCCATACTGTCCCACACACCCTGCCACTCCTGGCTGTCCAGCCTTGGGGAAAACCTCTTGGTCCCCCCATATCCTCGTCTAACCCCAGACAAGACCCAAACCTGACTCTGCTTAACTTTTGAGATCAGACAAAATGGTCGTGGGTAGAACACAGCCTGTGTGTGTGCCAACATGCTGATCCCCATCACAATCAGCAGGCAGGTACCAAGGACACCCAAAGGCCATTCAAAACCTTCAGAACTCTCAACTGATGCTGCTGTACTTGTCACTGGGGCTGGTGCAGCTGCTGTGCTTCCCGGCTCTCCCACCGCCAGCTTCTCTTTTCCTGAGTCCAGCTCTTCCTCCTCTGCCTTGCTGGGAAATGCTGCGTGGTCTCCTGCATCCTCCTGGGGCTCGGCGGGCGGCTTCCGGGAAATGCTCTCGGCCGTCGCGGGGCTCGGCTCGGCCGCGGGGCTGGGCTCCTCCGCCGCCTTCTCCCGCTGCTCGGCAGCCGCCTCCTTCCGCTCCTCGACCGCCCCGACCTCCTCCACCGGCAGCCGTCCCCTCGCGGCCTACGGCCCCGCTCCCGCCGCCGCTTGGTTCCCGGGGCCGCTCTCCCGGGCCGCTTCAGCAGCCGCCGGCTCCCGGGGCCGCTCCCCCTCGGCTCCCCGCAGCCTCACGAAGATGGAGAGTAGGGTGAGGGCCAGGACTGTGAAGAGCAGCCGGACGGCCAGGTACAAGTCCACGGCCACGTCTGTCTCGCCCTGCTGCTGGAGCCCGCCCGTATTACAAGTCATTGCCATAAAGCACAGTGAGACAAGAACCTTAGCCCAGGCCCCGCACTTGATAAACACTAACACAGCAAATACCGGCACTACGTAAGTTACAACATTCTGAAGCTGTGAGATCAAGAGAAACAACTCTGAGAGCCAATAAATCGACATTGTGATGAGTGACTATTAATCTGGTCAGATCTGTCGTTATCTCAACCCTTCGTGCCCCACGTTGGGCGCCAAAAAGAACTGTCGTGGTTTAAACCCAGCCAGGTAATTCGTTCGCTCACTTCCAGTGAGTGGTGCCGAGCTGACAACAATCGAGGTCCGTGTCCGTCTCCCCCCCCCGCCTCCCCGCACCGGGGCTCTCCCCTTCCCCGCTCCCGGAGGAACGGGGAGGAGGATCGAGAGAGTGCAACTCCTACGGGTTGAGACAAAAACAGTCCAGCAACAAATCACCACCGCTACTATCAGCTACAACAATGATAAGGGAAAATAACAAGGGAAGAGAATACGATACCACCGGCCAAGAGAAACGAGCTCCACCCGGAAGCCCCTGTCCTTCCGGGTAACTCCCAGTTACCCCTCACCCCGGGCATGACGTGCTGTGGTATGGAATACCTCCCCGGCTAGCCCGGGTCAGGCGCCCCGTCTCTGCTTCCTCACAGCCTCCCCTCCTCCCTGGCAGAGCATGAGCCTCACAGAGTCCTTGGTCAGGGTAAACATCACTTAGCAACAACCGAGAACATCGGCTTTACCAACACTGTTCTCAAACTGGAAGTCAAAACACAGCACTGTACCAGTTAACACAAAGGAAAAACATGACTGCTACTGCGGAACCCAGGACACTGTCTTTCACTTTGTCTTGCCTCCCTGTTTTTTGATCTCTCTGTACCACCTTGTCCTGTTTCTTGTCTCTGTCTTTTTTGTCCTTCTTTCCCGATGATGCTTTCCACCTCTTCACTGCTTCCTGTCCCCATTACTTCTGCCTCTCTTTCTGTGCCTGCTGCCTGTCCCCTCATTCCTTGCTGTGCTTCCTTGTCCAGGCGCCTCTCCCTTTTTCCCCTTTCTCTCCTCTGCCCTGCTCCCTGGCCCCTTTTCCTCCTCTCTGTCCTCTGGCCCATTTCTGGTTTTAGCTTTTTTACTTCTTGGTCACTCCTTACAGATCTAACCCTTTCTTTATTTCTTGGTCCCTTTGTCCTCTTCTCTCTCTCTCCTTTTTCTGTCTGCGTGTCCTGTGCCACTGTCCTCATCTGTCTGATTTCATCAGAAAGACCTTTTCATGACGGGCTGTGCTTGTGGAGCCGGAACCGCTGTGGTGGCCCCAAAATACTCCAAACCCCTTGATTCTGGGTCTGCAAGGCTCGGGGCGGAGGAGCGATGCTGGGAAGGGATACCCCCCCAAAACTCGGCACAGCAGGTGGGGGCGGGCGCTGTGTGGCGCCGCTCGCTGCTGCCATCCTGTGTCCAGAATTCGGTACCGCAGCCGGGGCTCTGCGCACGAGCCGCACCGCTCCCTTTGTCCCGGTGCTGTTCCCGGAAGTGCCTGAGCCACGTGGTGACTGCTGGCTCCCGGTGAGCAGCGGCCGCGCCGCCCCCCCCGCTCCACGTTCGGGTGCGGGCGGGCGCGTGGGGTGCGTGTGGCCGCAGCCGGTATTCGCGCACCAGTTCTGGTCCCGCCGCCTCCGCTACCGCCTTCTCCTTCCTCCCCGACTGCCGCCATCGCTCCCTCACACCGAGGGAGTGTTGAGAGGCACGAGAGCTCCTCGGCAGATGTGGGTGGGAGCCAGGTTTAGAGCTGGGGTGAGTGTTTGTGCAGAGAACGGTGCAGCAGCAGAGGCTGCATTGGTGGTGGCAGCATGTGAATCCACGCATTAACCCAGCTTGCTGCAGTGGTTTTGGCTGAGGAGAGCAGCCAGGATAAAATACTACCTTCACAGTCTTTATCTGCAGTAACTGCAGTGTTCCGGGTATGTCAGCCTGTATAGCCCAAATGACTGACAGTAACAGCAAAGTGCAGTTTCTGTGAAGCTCTTCTCGAGGTACAGCAGTTTGCCAGGCCTTCCCAAAACTACTTGATGATTTTTTTTCTGTGTGCAGGATGTTTCTCACACCCCAAAGCTTTTCCAGCAGTCAAACACATCTGTTTCCCTCTCTTCCCCCAGCAAAGAGGAAGTTTGTGGCTTGCAATGATAGCACACGGAGAGGTGTTGCCCTGAAACAGGATGAAATGGCTGCATCCTTCCAGGAGGCTGTCTCAGAAAGGAGAATCGCGCTGTGAGCTGGAGAGCTGCCCCTGCAGTGAGTGCCCACCCCCAGAGAGGGAGGGGGAGCTAGGGACTTAGCACCTTCCTGCCTATCACCAGGGATGGAAAAATGTTGGTTTGGGTTGGAAGGGACCTTAAAGCTCCTCCAGCTCCAACCCCTGCCACAGGCAGGGAGACCTTCCACTAGAGCAGCTTGCTCCAAGCCCCTGTGTCCAGCCTGGCCTTGTACACTTCCAGGGATGGGGCAGCCACAGCTTCTCTGGGCACCCAGTGCCAGTGCCTCAGCACCCTCACAGGGAAGGATTTCTATCTGAGAGCTCATCTCAGTCTCCCCTCTGGCAGGTGAAAGCCATTCCCCTTGGCCTGTCCCTGCAGGCCCTTGTCCAAAGCCCCTCTCCAGGTTTCTTGTAGCCCCTTTAGGCACTGGAGCTGCTCTAAGGTCTCCCCTTCAGGAGCCTTCTCTTCTCTGGGCTGATCCAACCCATCTCTCTCAGCCTGGCTCCAGAGCAGAGCTGCTCCAGCCCTCGCAGCATCACCATGTCTGTGAGAATTGTTCTTATGAGCCTTCTGCAGCTTTAAATAAGTCCCTGCTTCCTGTCCTGC